GGTCTGCGCTCCTCAGTATGTAACAGAATGTCCGGACTCGACAAGAAGACACCGCCGATGCTGGAGGCTCATCTGCCTGCAGCGTTGCCACCTCATCTGCCCGCAGCTTCGCCCGCCTGCGTCCGAGACCCTAGCTAGACAGTACTTTGCTCTTCTGGGTCTATGCTGCCGAGTGAGGGGGGATTCAACAGTTTGGGACTCCCCTGAAGCTGCCTCTCTCCTTGCATGGCTTAAGGAGGAGTGCGCCATCTTTACCCCTACTTCCCTGCTTCACGCGCTAGGGAAGATGGCGGAGAGCCTGAGCAAGCTGCTCCAGTTAAGGACAGAGCAAGCTTCCTCGGCAGGAGATGATCTGGCCCCCGTGGTTCCTGTTCCGGTTCCTGCCTCCCCCGACCCTGCTCTCTACTCCCCGGTTTCTGCTCCTGATTCCCCGGTTCCTGCTCCTGCCCCACTGAACCCCTCTGGTGGGTCACCCCAACCACTACCTCATCGCGGCAGATCCTGGCTGGGTCCCCGTCCAGTGTTGTGCATGAACGTGTTCAATGAATGGCGTTCATTGAACATGTTCATATTTTTCGTGAACGCTGAACTGAACAAATCAGTTTACAAATTATGAACCAGAGCATATGAGCGGAGTGGAGCGGTGACAATTTCCGCTCCTTGCTCACGAGGCTGTTGGCTCCGCCCGCTCCTCTGCTCTAATCAGGTCGCTCCGCTCAACACCGCTCCTCGCTCCACTAAAATTTCCTCCCGCTCCAGTCAAATCGCTCCACGCTCGCTCCAATTTAAAAGAGGGACAAATAATCTGCATGCCTAACAAATATCACCTTAAACCGATGCCTTATATCATAAAGAAATGTGAGCAACGGCACTCAGAACAGCAAATATTTATTTTTAAACAACATATAGGCAACAATGGACAGGTTTGGCAGTGGCATTCCACACAAAATAGGCTTAAAAATAAAGGAATCAGTGGGCTTAATAGCCTAAAGAATATACAGGTTAAGCGCATCCATGTTTTAAATTCCTCAGTTATTTTCTGTTGATGCTGCTGCTGCGCCTCTCTCTATAAAATAAAATTTCACTGACAGCGTTACGTGAATTTAAAAAATCCTATTAGACCTAATTTGAATGACAAACTAATTTATTTGATTACCAAATTATAGGCTTTTATACTGTTACGATCCCCAGTCTAGGGTTGGGGATCGCCAGAAAGGTAGAGGAGATGGGGCAAACACAGTCTTGTGGGTCAAAATAAATTCATCTGCAAGGGTGGCAGCCTCAGACAAAGAAACGACTTTCTGTTCATTTAAATACACCACAACGCGATCCGGAACCCAGTTTTTAAATTCCTCTAATAACAGCAACTCCTTAAGCTGGTCAAAGTTGGAGACACCACTTGCAGCACACCATTTATCAAACAACAGAGCCTTCTCACGAGCAAACTGAACGTGGGTTTGGCTGGTGGATTTACTTAATTGTCTGAAGTTTTGTCAATAAGCCTCTGGTACTAACTCATATGCCTTTAATATAGTAGCTTTCACGACATCATAATCTAGGCTCTGCTCTAACGCCAGAGCCGAACAAACCTCTTGCACTTTCCCCACTAGCTTACATTGTAACAACAAAGACCAAAGGTGTTTGGGCCAGTTCAAGGTCTTAGCAATCTGCTCAAATATAGAGAAATAGGCATCCACCTCATTCTCACGAAATATGGGAACAAGTCTGACCTGACGGCTGACATCGAATCCGGAATGCCCAATTTCAGTGCTTTGGGAACTCAAAGGAGAACACAGGCGAGGGCAAGGAGCATCTTGGGCACCAGCTGGGTCACGGGCGGGTAGGTCTGCCTGAGGGGCGACACCCGGTGAGTGTACCTTCCGCGGACGGGGCTCAGGCTTTGGTTCAGCCCTGCTTAGCCTCCACAATGCCACCTCTTTCTCAGCCTCTATCTGCACAACCCGGACATGGAGAAGTTGTGCCTGATACTCCTGCCATTTTATCTCCAACTCCAGCTCCCTCAGCTTAAAGGTAAGCAGCAGCTCCTCCCTAGCTGAGCGAGGATCGCCGGGATCCATACGGATCCCCAGCCCTGGATCGTCGCCGCTGGCCTCCGCTGCAGCCGACAACTACACGGGAGTGGATGCAACACCCAGCGAGCCGCCCAACTCAGGTAGGATACCCTGCTGAATCAGCTTGTCCTGCAGAACCCGTTTTATCGCCCGTTTGGACGCCTCAACGGGGACAAACACATTAAAAAAGTCTGCTATTGCCAGCAAGTCGTCCTTGCGGCACCTATCAAACTGCTCGAGCGTGGGGTGGAGGGTGAAAGTTACGAGATCGAACTGGGCCATTCCCACTAACACAACCACAACACCGCCCCCCCACAAAAAAAAAATCCACCAGACAAACACCGGAAGGAAGAAAAGAAAGGATGAGCCCCCAATTTCTGTTACGATCCCCAGTCTAGGGTTGGGGATCGCCAGAAAGGTAGAGGAGAGGTAGAGGGGAAGACGGGACAAGCAGGGAATGGGAAAGGGGAACACAGGAAACAAAGGGATTTTTTTTGTATTATTTTATATTTATTCACAGACACAGTTACAAACACGAGGTGCAACAAACTTCGGGAGTGACCC